GGTTTCACTTTTTACATTTACTTTGCGTATACTCACTTTTAAACACTGAGCCTTTGGTCCATTCAAAATTATCTTGGTGTATGGTATGAAGTATAGCTCTAACTCTGTCTTTTTCCAAATCGCTACCCAGTTGTCTCATCATTTATGACAAAGTGTCTTTACCTCCCATTGATTTGTGATGCTACCTTTATCATACACTAAATCCTCGTGTTTTGTGGTCTATTTCTACATTTTCTATTCTGGTGCAATGTTCTATCCCTGTGATAATATGATGTTTTCATTTATTGAGGATCAGTCATTGGTTTTAATATCTCTCTTTTTTTAAGATTTTATTTATTTGACACAGAGAGCACAATTAGGGGGAGCGGCAGGCAGGGGCAGAGGGAGAAGCAGGCTCCCCACTGAGCAAGGAGCCAGATGCGGGGCTAGATCCCAGGACCCTGGGATCATGTCCTGAGCCAAGGCAGATGCTTAACCGATTCAGCCACCCAGGCGCCCTTGGTGTTAATATCTCTTAGGGCAAATGTCCCCAGTTCTGTTTCTTCTTCAAGATATTTTTGCTTCTTTAGTTCTTTTCCAAATCTAACTTTAGATTCAGTTTTTCTAGTTCCAGAGAGAAGTCTCTATTGGGATCATTTTTAATTTATATTCACTTAGAATTGACATTCTTATAAAGTTGATTTTCCTATCCAAGAACATGGTATGTTTTTCCGTTTGTGGGGGAAGAAAGCCTAATTTTGGATCCTTCAGGAGTGTTTTAGTTTTCTTCATATATTTTGCACATAGCTTGTTACGTTCATTCCTAAGTATTTTATCTTTTTTTGTTAAAATTGTGAATTGAGGGGCGGCTGGGTGGCTCAGTCGTTAAGCATCTGCCTTCGGCTCAGGTCATGGTCCCAGGGTCCTGGAATCAAGCCCCGCATCGGGTTCCCTGCTCGGCGGGAAGCCTGCTTCTCCCTCTCCCACTCTCCCTGCTTGTGTTCCTTCTCTCACTGTGCCTATCTCTCTGTCAAATAAATAAATAAAATCTTTAAAAAAAAAAAGAATTAAGAACATTTAAAAAAAATTGTGACTTGAGTTACTCTGGTTTTTAAAAGTATGTCTGTTAGTTTTTGTTGCATAATAAACCACATCAAACTTAGTGACCTAAAAAAGCAACCACTTATTTTGCTTATGACTCTGTGGGCTGGTGATTTGGTCCACGCATAGCTGGGTGACTTTTCTGCTGGGCTCCTTTTGTCTGTGGTCAGCTGTGGGTGAGATAAGCACTTCTCCTTCTGGGGATTGGCTGATTGTCAGTTGGAGTGCTAGGAGGCATGTGGGCCACAGGTTTTCCATCGCCTGGCAGCCTAGCTCAGACTTGTTCACTTGGTGGTGGCAGGTTACAACAAAAGCAAGAGACCAGAAGTTGCAAAGGTTCTTGATCCTGAGGCTTGAAACTCAGACAGTGTCACTTCTGCCACATTCTGTTGGTCAGATCAAGCCACAAGACCAGCCCAAATTCAAAGGGTGGGGAAATAGACTCCACTTCTATTCAACGGAAATAGACTCCAGTCCCTCAGGGAGGAACTGCAAAGTGTATTTCTATACTTTTTGTTTTACTTTCTTGGCCATTTTTGCAATATACCGCAATAAGATACTATCAAGAGGAGAGAAAAGGGTGATGATCCAGTTAGTACTGGAAATGGACTTTTCACATAACCATCAGCCTGCATGGCAGGGTAAAAGGTCTGGAAAGAGCTGCACTTTGAATTTTGTTTTTATATTAAACCAGACCTTCAGAGAGCTGAATCTTAAATGACACTCTTTTTCTTCCTTCACAGAATTAGCTCTTTTGAATTGTGCTGTAGTACTTGTCATCAGCTAACATTGAAAGGGCATTAAAATCCATTAATTTTATTTATTACAGAGATCTTAAGATACTGTCCACTATGTCACACAGTGTCCTTTTCCTGGGCAGTCATGGGAAATTTCTCTTCCCACTTGGTATCAAGAATAGCTGGATTTCTCCTAAGCTGCTATTAATAGTTTGCTTTTACCCAAGGTATGCTGCATATCATGTAACTGATCTTGTTTTCCTCTTGCATTGGCAGCTGAGGCTTTTCGGAGCCAAATTGTGAGCTGTCTTTTGCCAGTACACAGGAGTTTAAAGTAGGCAACTTGTAATCTCATTTTATCCCTGGCCCCATTTATCCTTGCCCTATTTTTAAATTATTTTCCCAATTATTTTTTTGAAGGTGAGACAGTATGTCATGATTAGAGCCCATAGTCACACGACCCAGAGGCAGGAGCTGGTAGAACCTGACTGTTAATCAGCTGGTGAGCAGACCACCTTGATGGGAGGGGATGAAAAATGCTTGTATTGCCCTCACAGTACTTGCTATTCACTTCCAGATTCCATAATTAGTTATATAAATGGATATTTTCTGAAGCTAGGTTTGCCTGTACTTAGGAATTTGCATTCTGTCCTTAATTCCTTTGCCCGTCCTTGGCCACATGGCCCTACTGGAAGCCTCGTCCCGCAATACTGGGAAAAGAACTTTTGACTTCCTGCTGGATTGTGATAACATTCCCACAGAGATGAATAAGTAGACTCATACAAAGTTTCTGCCTTCCAGGGACTTTCAGACCATTTGGAGAGATCAGATATAAATGTGGGACCAGGGGCGCCTGGGTGGCTCAGTTGGTTAAGCAACTGCCTTCGGCTCAGGTCATGATACTGGAATCCCAGGATCGAGTCCCAGGATCGAGTCCCACATCGGGCTCCCTGCTCAGCGGGGAGCCTGCTTCTCCCTCTGACCCTCTTCACTCTCGTGCTCTCTGTCTCTCACTCTCTCTCTCTCAAATAAATAAATAAAATCTTTAAAAAAAAATAAATGTGGGACCAGTTATGTCATTAAATTATTTATATATTGCTCCAAATTTCTAGAATGACAAACCTGAGCCTTGAGAATAATGAAGTTGTTTTTCTAGAAGTGGATTTGTCATAAAGATAAATCCTGAAAAATCTGCCTTTGCCTCTTTCATGCCCTGTTAATGTCTAACCAAAACAGATCCCAAATAGACTAGTACAGCCACTTACCTGCTAAAGCATAAAGTAGGGGTTGACTCCCTGTGCTTTTGCACAACTTTTGGATAAATCATTAGCTTGTAATTTAAACTTTAGTCCATAGAGATGTCTTATGGAATTCTGACCTTGCTTGGGACTTTGCATTCATAAATCAGGATATTAATTGTACTCATGTAAATAGATAAATTTTTTAAATGAATTTACCTACAACATATAATTTGGATAATTCTTCACTTGTTAAATAAATAATGCAGATGATTTCATGTAAATGTTAAACCAATGCACAGTATTTTTTCATTTCAATTGCATGATTTGTCTTCTGAACATTGTTAAAGTATAAATGGATATGAAACATGTAAAACATGACTATTGTATTTTTATTATATATTGTTTCTTGAAGCAAGAAAAAAACTACTAGAAAAATCTTTCTCTATTAAATAGCTAGATTGTTTTCTGCTTCTGACTTTTCTGACTACATGGGATCCAAAGGTTAAGCTCTTTCCACAATACTTAAATAAGTCTTCGGTTTTTATATTTTCAAACACACTATAATGAGCTGCAGTCACATAATAGAGTCCTGGAGTCAAAATCATATCATCATAAAATATTTTTAAATAAAGTTTGAAAATGACCAAATTTCCTGTTGCAAACTGAATTAAAGTTTAGTTCAAATGCTTGGAGGCAAGATACCTGCGGTGGAGCTCCATTCCTTCCACAGTTTCCCCTGAAATACAACTCTGCTTCACATTGTCACACAAAATATTTATGTGTCCCGATAAGGACAAAGGTAATCTATTTACACACAATATTTAAATTTTGTACTGGTCAGAAAGGTTCATCTGATCACTGCTTCTCAATTCATGTGTATACAAATCACCTGGGGATATTTTAAAAATACAGATTCTGAGGAGCCTGGGTGGCTCAGTCCGTTAAGCCTCTGCCTTCAGATCAGGTCTTGATCCCAGGGTTCTGGGATTGAGCCCAGCGTCAAGCTCCCTGCTCAGCCAGGAGCGTGCTTTTCCCTCTCCTGCCCCCCCTCCTTGTATTCCCTCTCTCGCTGCCTGTCAAATTACATAAATAAAATCTTTAAAAAATAAATAAAATAAAATATGTCTTCAGCCCACATGGACATTTTAAGCTTTAATCTCCTAGGTGAAGTCTTTCACCGTACCCTCCCCATCAGCCATGACTGATTATTTCCACCCCTGGTCGTACAAATGTACTGTTCATACATGGCAAAGTATTGCATTTACGACCCTGTCCTGTAACGATCTAAGTGTCTGACTCTCTTAGGAGACTGAGGATAGAGACTATGTTTACTCAGTTTTGTAACTGTAGTGTCAAGCAGGATGCCTGGGAGTGTAGCAGTTACCCTACAAAGCTTTCTTGTATAAATAAATACCATATGGATGGATGATTGTACAGTTGGGAGTTTTATCTTTTCCTGCAACAAAATTTACAAAACTTTATTCACGGACAATGTGTTTAAAAATGACATTCAAGTTGTAAAATAAGAGTATCATTTAGTTCTGTTGAGCTAAACGACCGTAAGCCCCTCCAGAAGGGTACACACACAGTATCTCCGGAAGTGACGGGACGGCAAACCACCGAGATGGACATCACTCCTCCAGGGCGCCTAGAGAGGCCCCGGAAATGCCCGGGAGGGGAGGGCACCGCAGGGAGTCGGTCACGCACTTCCGGCCTGATTTTTTTAGTACTTTTTGTCACCGGGCGTAGCGGGTTGTGGGTGGAATACCTGCGGGTGGGAAGAGTAACGGAGGGGTCGGGCAGGGTAGGGCCCTGCTGGGGACGGGATAGTAGGGAGCCGCTGCTCTGGGGAAGTCTGATGAGTTCCGCGGCTTTTTGCAGGGTTTGCTGTCTTGTCCCCTGAAGGCAGAACTCCGGGAAAGTCAGCACGCGCCGGAGGAAGATGAGTTCGAGCTTGACCGCGAGTCAAGTCACTGACGCTGAGGCAGGAGCCTGGATGGCAGCTGCGAGGTCCAGGGTCGCCGCGCCGTCTCTGCGTGATGGACTTTTGATAGTGAAAGTGGAGGAAGACTCACCCGGAGGTCAGGAGCCCGACGCGCCTGGGGACTGTCAGGATCCGGAAAAGTCGCGACAGCATTTTAGGCGGTTCCGTTACCAGGAGGTGGCTGGACCTGAAGAGGCGCTAAGCCGGCTCAGGGAACTTTGTCGCCGGTGGCTGAGACCCGAGATGCACTCGAAGGAGCAGATCCTGGAGCTGCTGGTGCTGGAGCAGTTCCTGAGCATCCTGCCCCGAGAACTCCAGGCCTGGGTGCGGAGGCACTGCCCGCAGAGCGGGGAGAAGGCTGCGGCCGCGGTGCGCGCTTTTCAGAGAGCGCTTGATGGGGCCTCACCCCAGGTGAGGAGTGAAGGTATTCTGGTGGCGGGGGTGTAGGGAATAGAGGTGTACGGGATGCTGTGAGTTTCAGGCCTTCTTTCCTTACTACATTTTGTCCTAACTTCGGGATGTGCATGAAACTTTCTTTTCGTTGGAAACAGTGACAAGTAAATCTATCCAGGAAATGATCCTTGAGTTATAGACCTCTGAGCACAAAACCAACGTGGGAGAATTGTTTACCCATTGTAAGACACCCTGTTGTCTAACTAGATTATTTGGGGAAGAAAGGTGACGGGTGGAACGTGGCTTCATGTCGTTAACTACTTAGGCTAGAACAGCAATTCTCTACCACTTTGTTTTACTTTTTAGAAGTTTAGCGACCCGCGTCCTCCTACAGTTGATAACGGTATTCCGGAGAGGCGAGAGGGGCTATAATGGAGTTTACTGATCATGCCTATGTGGTGAAGCCTCCATAAAAATCCCAATAGTGTGAGATTCAGAGAGCTTCCAACTGGTGAACACATCCTTATACCCAGAGGGTGAAAAACCCCAACTCTTTGGGGACAGCAGCTCCTGTGCTCCTGACCGCCCAGACCTCACTATGTATTTCTTCATTTGGCTGTTCATCTGCATCCTTTATCATACCTTTTTGTAATAAACTGGTAAATCTAAGTGTTTCCCTATGTGCTGTGAGCTCTTCAGGCAAAGAGTCGAATTGGTAGGGGGAGGTCATGGGAACCTCTGATTTGTGGCCAAGTCAGACAAGAATTGTGGGTAACCTGGAGACCTACTACTTGTGGTTGGCTTCCAAAGTTGGGAGGGGAGGATAGTCTTGTGGGACCGGGCCCTTAATCTGTGGGATCTGACTCTATATCCAGGTAGATAGTATCAGAATTGAGTTAAACTTTAGGACACCCAGCTGGTATTACAGAATTGCCTGATATGTGAAAACCCCTACATCTGGTGTCAGAAGTGAAGTATTGTAGTGAAAATATTCAGAGTATTGAAAGTAGAAGAGACACACAGGAGTGTGATTTTCCTTTACAAGGAAGCGGAGGCAAGGCTCAGGAAAAAACAAATTTTATTATACTCAGGTCTTAGAAAGAGGAGGCACATCATGACACTCAGAGCTTCCTAGGAAGGACACCTGGGGTGGTCAGGAGGCAGAAAACTGGAGCAAAGGGGAAAGTTTAGGCCAGAGCCTGTACTGAGGTTTCCCAGGGAAAGACAAGGCAGGGTAGGGGGAACAGTTTAGGATTGGTTGGTTTGAATAATTTCAGCAGGCTCTAACCTATAGGGTTGGTCCCTAGTTGGTTTGATACCTGATCCTAGAATGAAGAAGATATAGTATACAGGCCAGGTAGAGGAGGTATGGCTTGAGATTAAATAGTCTTGGCTGAGCCTTTTGCTCTCTCTAAGAATTGACTAGCTGTGGGAAGGGCAGTCTCCCTAGCCAGAAAGATTTTTTTTTTAAGGTGTCAAAACATAACATATAGAAAATTTAAAAATATATTTCCCTTTCCTATCTTTTAGTGAGAGATCCTTGGAGTCCATTTGTGACCCATCACTGACACCTAGAGTGACATCTCTCCACACTAGTGTTAGAACCTTCCCTTTCTAAGAACTATGGCTTTACCTTCTGTGAATGGTCAACTTACATTTAAATAAGCTACCTCAAAAGATCATCTTTCTGGATAATCATCTTATTATGCAATGGTCAAGGGAAGGGAAAGTAAATTTTATTGAACACCTGCTGTCAGTAAGCTACCTTCATCTTCTTAAATTATTTGTATGCGTTTCACACATGAGGTAACCGAGTCTCAGAGCCAGCACTGCAATTTGGGACTTCCTGCTTACCTGTATATTTTTAATCTAGATCAGATTTCCTATTTGATAAATCACAGATATAACTCAAAGATTTTGCTCTTTCCCCACATTAGTGTGGACGGTCCACAGAAAAGCCTTTCAGGATTGCAAGAGAATTTCAGCCTCTGTCTTTGTTCCTTTGAAACTCCAGTCAGTACAAGACTCACTGGAAAAGACTCAGTAGCCATGGTTGTTAACTTGATTCCCAGGGCTTTCTGCTCAGTGTTTGCAGATTCCTCTGGAGTCTGGCCTCATCCTGAGATGAGTGGTCACTTATGCTGTCCTGGGACAGCAGGCACTGAGTAGAGGTCTCATGTTGTTTCAGGAGTTGGTGACGGTTGAGAATATGGCTGTGTCTCTAACCTGGGAGGAGTGGGACCGTCTGGACCCAGCTCAGAGGGACTTCTGCCCGGAGAGCGCACTGAAGGACTGTAGAAACACGGTCTCGCTGGTCTCGCTGAGTAAGTGCTGACTTTGTTTCAAGCTGTGTGTGATTTGTGGAGGGCCAGTCACACACCCAGGTTGAGATCTGTTAGTGTCTCTTTTGTGAGCCAACAGGACCTTGCTGTTCTGTATTGTTAGATGATAGATTCAGCTTTTTATTTTGGTTCATTTTGAATAAAATAGATACAGAAAAATATAAAAAATATAATGGGCACCTGTGTATCTACCACCCGGGTTTATCGAATTTTAATATTTCAATATTTTAATATATTCCTGTATGATTCTTTTGCACCTTGCCTTTTTTTTTCCCAGCATTACATTTTTGAGATTTATCCGTGTCGACACATGTAGCTCTCGTTTATTCATTTTAACACTTGTCTATTTCACTGTATGAATAGTCCAGAATTCATTTATCCACTGTCCTATCAATGGACATCAAAGCTTTTAGGTTTTCACCGTTACAAATAGCATCACATCAAACATTCTTGAATCATTCTGTGTTCATTTATAGGAACTCCTAAAGAGAATAGACTTAGGCATGTTTGCCCATCTTGCTGTTCAGAAGGACTGTAACCAGTTTGGGCTCCTACCAGCAATATGTGAGAATTCTTTCTCTGCATCCTTGTCAACATTAACTGTTCAGCTGATGGCGTGATGTCGTAACACAGTAGCTCACGTGTTCCTTTTGAAATATTACATTACATCACACATATGCTCAGAACCTGCATTGGTTCTCTGTTTCACGCAGAGTAAAAGCCTAATGTGACAAGGCCCCGTCACCCTGCCCACTCCTCTCCTACTCTGCCCCTCACTCACCATGCTTCAGCCCACTGACCTTGCTGCTCCTTGAGCATGGTGGGCATCCTCCCTCCTGTTCTTTCTCTGTTTGATCCCTCTCCCTGGAATAATCTTCCTCCAGATCTCCACTAAGCAAACTCTCTGACTTGTTTCAAGCCTTTGCTCAGATTTCAGTCTTCAGTGAGGCCTGACCTGACCATCATGTTTAATACTGCAGTTTGCCTTTTTTTTTTTTTTTTTAAGATTTTATTTATTTGAGAGAGAGAGAATGAGAGAGAGAGCACATGAGAGGGGGGAGGGTCAGAGGGAGAAGCAGACTCCCTGCCGAGCAGGGAGCCCGATGGCGGGACTCGATCCAGGGACTCCAGGATCATGACCTGAGCCGAAGGCAGTCACTTAACCAACTGAGCCACCCAGGCGCCCTGCAGTTTGCCTTTACTGTCTCCTTCTCCCACACTGCTGACTGATCCCTTAACTTCCTCGACTTGGTCCATAGCATTTGTCACCCTCTGACTTCTTATATAATTTTTGTTATGTTTATTTTATTATCTGACCACCCCTTCTAGAATGTAAACTCCACAAGGTTGGGGGAGATTTTGTCTGCTTGGTTCTAATACATCCCAAGACCTTGGAATAGTGCTTGGCACACAGTAGGCGCTCAATAAATACTAGGTGGATTAATGAATGAATGGTATCTTATTGTTTTAACTTGCATTTCCCTGATCCCTACTGGGCTAAATATCTTTTCAGATTTTTGTTTTGAACATTCTATGAATTGCCTGTTTATATCCTATCTCCCTTCCTTTCCCTCTGTTATTTTTTTAATTGTTTTGTGGAAGTTTTTTGTATTTTTGTTATTAACTCTTTGTTGTTTTACTGGTTATATAAGTGGCTTTTCTTTTCACAATGACATCTTTAGTTATGTAGAATTTAAAAATTTTAATATACAGTTGACTCGTACATGCAGGGGTTAGGGGTACCAGCCCCTTCCCCCCACAGTCAAAACTCCACATATAACTTTTAACTCCCCAAAAACTTAATTACTCATAGCCTACCATTGACTGGAAGCCTTATGGATAACATAAACAGTCGATTAACACATATTTTGTATGTTACATGTATTACCTACAATGTTAAGAAAATCATAAGGGGGGTGCCTGGGTGGCTCAGTCGGTTAAGCGTCTGCCTTCAGCTCAGGTCATGATCCCAGGGTCCTGAGATCTAGCCCTGCATCGGGCTCCTTGCTCAGTGGGAAGCCTGCTTCTCCCTCTCTCACTCCCCCTGCTTGTGTTTCCTCTCTCGTTGTCTCTCTCTCTGTCAAAAAATAAAAAAATGCATTCAACATGCACAAAAAAAATCCTTCTTAAAGAAAATCATAAAGAGAAAATACTCTTACAGTATTGTACTGTCTTTACCAAAAAAATCCGTACATGAGTGGGCCTGCACAGTTTAAACACTCGTTTGAGGGTCAGCTATGCTCAGATTTTTCAATCTTTTATTTGGTGGTTTGTGTTTTTCCAATCTTAGGAAAATACCAGGCCCTTCTCAGTCCTGATTCCAACTTTGCAGAGACAACAACTTTAAAATCTTTTATTTGTTTTTCACTAGTATTTATTTTCATAGTTCTAAGTAGGATGCTTATTGGGCTATTTTTTCCCCGATTTCAGGCATTATCCCTTGACTGTCTCCTGAAGAAGACAGGAATTATGCCTCCCAACACACACACACACATTTAGCCATCTGTGATTCTCTCATTATAGTTAAATCAGTCCTTTTGTATATCGATGTGTAATGTTTCAGTGTTCCAGCTGTGAAAATATTACCTGTATTCACTCACGTAGCTTATATGATTATATGTCTTATTTTTACAACTTTTAGTTTTGCTTTTCTAACTATTGAACATGAGTTCATGCACAGGCTCCCTGTTAGAAATGTAAAACTGTATGTTCAGATGTATCAGATACACCATCAGTTTCATACTCCCCTTGGAGGAATCCTCCAGAAGCTTCTTCTGCTCCAGTGTGAATGGGCTTCTCTCCAGGCTTGTTACACAACTGTTGTCCCCAAAACCTTCTTTCACTGTCACCCTGGAATTCCTTTTCTCTTTCCTGGACCATTTTCGTCCTTGGTTTACCTACCTCAGTTTGATGGAGGACATCTTCTAGTATCTTCTAGAGAACATATACTCAGGAGCTTAATTTTTTGAAAGTTTGCGTGTCTGAAAATGTCTCTATTCCTCTCGCACATCCGAATCATAGTATGGCTGGATTCCCCATTAGAAATGATTTTACCAACAGGGTTAATGGGTGGCTCAGTTGGTTAAGCATCAGACTCGACTTCGGTTCAGATCATGATCCCATGGTCGTGAGATCGAGTCCCACATCAGGCTCTGGGCTCAGCATGGAGTCTGCTTGGATTCTCTCTCTGCCCCAACCCCTGCGCACACTCCCCTCACCCTCTCTCAAATAAATGAATGAATGATTTTACATTTTGAAGACTGAATATTCTGGCTAGCTTGCCATGTTGCTAGAAGAAATTGGATGCCATTGTGATATTTTATCCTTGGTGTGTGATCTGTTTGTTCTGCATATGAAACCTTTAGAATCTCCTCTTTATTCCTGCTAGCATAAAGTTTCAGAATGAAGTGACTTAGTGTGAGGGTTTTTTTTTTCATTCATTTTCCTTGTAACATAGACACCCATGTCTTTGAGTTGCGAGAAAATTTTTATAGTATTTTTTTATATACTTATCCACTGTTTATTTTTACCTCATTTTTTTCCTGTTTTCTTTCTGGGATTTCTTTTATTTGGATGTTGGAACTTGTGGACTGATTGCATCAGCTTCTTCCCTGCCCCTTGTTATTTCTTTTTTTTAAGGTTTTATTTTTAAGTAATCTGTACACCCAACCTGGGGCTCAAACCCACAACCCTGAGATCAAGAGTCACATGCTCCACCAAATGAGCGAGCTAGGTGCCCTCTGCAAAAGCTCTTTTTATTTTGATATAATCCCAATTGCTTATTTTTGCTTTTGTTTCCCTTGCCTCTGGAGACATATGTAGAAAACAGCCAATTCAGAGAAATTACTGCCTGTGCTCTCTTCTAGGATTTTTATGGTGTCAGGTCTCACATTTAGGTCTTTAATTCATTTTGTGTTTATTTTTGTGTATGGTGTTAGAAAGTGGTCCAGTTTCATTCTTTTCCGTGTAGCTGTCCGGTTTTCCCAGCACGGTTTATTAGAGAGACTGTCTTTTCCCCCATTGTATACTCATGCTTTGTTTGTCATCGAGTAATTGACCACACAAGTGTGGGTTTATTGCTGGGCTCTCTATTCTGTCCCATTGATCTATGTGTCTGGTTTTGTGCCAGTACCATGCTATTTTGATTACTACAGATTTGTAGTGTATCTTGAAATCGGTGTTGTGATATCTCCAGCTTTATTCTTTCTCAGCATTGCTTTGGCTATCAGGTGCTGTTTTATTTGGGAATTCCCATATGTTAGGCCTGGGCTGGCAAGTTTTACCTCAGAGAGATTTATTCAACAAATATTTTGAGTGTCAGCGATAAGCCAGGTGCTCTTCTAGGTGTTGGGGACATAATAAGGAATAAAACCTATGAAATCCCTGCCATAAAAATCCCTTCCCTTTCTGCCTGGAGGATGTCAGCTTCAGAGCTCACAGTTTGGGGCATGAGCGGGGAACAGTGCACTGAGCTTCTCCCAACTGTGTGTCCATTTTCACTTGATTCTCCTGAGAGGAAATGGTCCCTGTCCACTGTTCTCAGCTGTGCCTGACACCCCCAACCCAGAACTTATCTAGTTCAGTCTTCCTGGAGTGTAAGCTGCAAAAATTCTAGTTTGGGGTGGAATCTGGTGGCTTGACTGCTCCTCTATAGACTCTCAGTCAGTCTGAGATTTGTCTCCCACCCAGACCCTGCCTCCAGACAATGGAGGCACGTGGTATCTGTTACGATAACTCATCATGTGACTAGAATGTCTCTTGTTAAACCATCCTTCATTCATGGGGTACAGGATGTCCTGCCCTACTTTCTTTCTTTTTTTTTTTTTTTAAGATTTATTCATTTTACAGAAAGAGCACAAGCAGGGGGAGAGGCAGAGGGAGAAGCAGGCTCCCCGCTGAGCAGGGAGCCCAACGCGGGGCTCAATCCCAGGACCCTGGGAACACGACCAGAGCCGAAGGCAGACGCTTAACCGACTGAGCCACCCAGGCGCCCCTGTCCTGCCCTTCTTGACACCCCTTCCAGATATGCCTCTGTCATGACATTGTGCCTCCTACAACAGTGGAGTGGAGCAGGGGGAAAAGAGTTGGGTTTGTGGGTGTAGGCACAACATAAAAAGAAAGAAACGGGGTTCATACTGGTAAATACGAGCACATCTGGCAGGTTGATTCAAATAATTTAACTTGGGGAGTGGTTCATGGAGAATATTTTGGGGGGTTATTTTACTGCAGGCACTTGCTTGTTTCACTCTTGCAAAGGGGTGAAATGTCAGCCATTTTATGTTTCTTTTTAATGTTTCAGGTTTGGAAACCAGAACCGAGAACAAAGAATTTATTCCAAAGCAAGAGGTTTTAGAAGAAGTAGAGCCGCAGGGGCAGCTACAAGAAGGGTCCCACCGGAAGGCTCCCCCGTTTTCTGGGTGTGGTGATACCCATGAGAACAGGGTAGAAAAGCAGTCAGGAAATCCCTCACCACTGAAACTTGAAAATTCTCCTGAAGAGGAAGGACTCTCCAGCACCACAGATCTCAAGAATGGTCCCATGGAAGAGGGAGACTCCAAAAATAATGAATTTGGGAACACTGCCCCGAGTTCAAACTTTGTTCCTTATCAGCACATCCAGACAGTGGAGAGGCCTGTTAACAGGAACCAACAGGGGGACAGTTGTAAACAGAGTCGAGACCCAGTAAAACGTCAGAGGGTGAAACCTCACAGCTCTGTTGACAGTGAGGAACATTCCCGCAGGGCAGGTTTTTCTGAGACCCAGCGGCAGTTCCGTGAAGAAAGGCCTTACAGATGTGACCACTGTGAGAAGAGTTTCAAGCAGCGTTCTGACCTTTTTAAACACCAGCGAATCCACACGGGGGAGAAACCCTACGAATGTCAAGAATGTGGGAAGAGCTTCAGTCAGAGTGCTGCCCTGATTAAACACCAGAGGACACACACGGGCGAGAAACCCTACACCTGCCCCAAATGTGGGGATAGCTTCAGACAGAGCTCCCACCTCAACCGGCACCAGAGAATCCACGTGGGAGAGAAACACTTCAAGTGTAACGAATGTGGGGAAACCTGCCGCACTTCCAACCGCTTCAGACACCAGAGGATACATAAAGGGGAGAGACCCTATACGTGTGAAGAATGTGAGAAGAGCTTCAAACGGTGCTCAGACCTCTCTAAACATCAAAGAGTCCACACCGGCGAGAAGCCATATGGGTGTTCTGTGTGTGGGAAACGCTTCAGTCAGAGTGCAACCCTCATTACACACCAGAGGACCCACACTGGGGAAAAGCCTTATAAATGTCTTGAATGTGGGGAAAGCTTTAGACAGAGTCCACACCTTATCCGACACCAAAGGATCCATAGAAATAAAGTCCCCCTGTTCTGACATGGCTGCTGTCTGGCTATTTTGGTTGGTTGGTTGGTTTTTTTCCATTGTCCAGAAACTACATTCTTTGGTATTTGGAGTATTTCAGTCACTTGTGGATCGTATTTCCATGGGCATCACACCCAAAACAGTCAGTCTGACTTGAGTCTCAGTACCTACCCAGAGCATCAAAGTGAAGCAGGAATTCGTAAATGGGGCGCCCTTCCCAAGGATGGTCCCATGGAAGGGTCTTCCGACGTGTGACAGTGCTGTCCTTGTCTCTTCTTACCTCCACTTTCGGACCCAAACCTTGCCCACTCCACTTACTTCCCTGAGAAATATTTTAGTCACTTAGAGTTGTCTTTCCTTTCCTTTTTTTTTTTTTATCTTTCTACCCGATGGTGGACAGTATTTCAAATACATAATAATCCAAAACGCCGTGTAAAGTTTGTTGCATACAAGAGGCATTCTACATTTTTTACTTTTTTAAACATTAATTTTGCAGAGTTTCTCTTTCTTCCCCATTCTAGAAGTTCAGTTTTATAATGCCTGTTGATTTCTTTTTAAATGAGAAGCAAAGGGGGCGCCTGGGTGGCTCAGTTGGTTAAAGCGACTGCCTTTGGCTCAGGTCATGATCCTGGAGTCCCAGGATCGAGTTCCGCATCGGGCTCCCTGCTCAGCGAGGAGCCTGCTTCTCCCTCTGACCCTCTCCCCACCCCTCTCATTCTCACTCTCTCAAAATAAATAAATCTTTAAAAAAAAAAGAAAAAAAATAAATGAGAAGCAAAGGAAGGCCCCACCCAAACATACCCACTAATTCCTGTCACTGTATCATTTTCAAAGTTTGTTAAATTAAGGGCCCTGTATTTGAAAACTTTTGGTTTTTGGTGAAAGTCCTCCCTAAACCTTTCAGTAAGCTTTGTGTGTTGGCAGGGAGAGAGGGAGGCTTTTGTGATATCAAATAGCCTAAACCACCTTTTTTTCTGTCAAGGCTTCTTAACGTATGGGACATAAGGAAGTGCTCTGGAGCGTGTTCCACAAAAGGTCACAAAAGGCAGAAGCTCCTTCAGCTCTTGCTTGTTTTGCTACCAGTATTCACTGACATAATACTCTTCATAAAATGCACCCACAGACATTTTTCCATTTGACTTCTAGCAACCCTATGAGGTAAGTAGGGACTTACATCATTCCCAGGTAGAGAGGAAGAAATGAAGGCTCACAGTTGACGCTTCAGAACTTAGGTGAGCAGGGGCACCTGGGTGGCTCAGTCAGTTAAGCACCTGACTCTTGATCTCAGCCCGAGTTTTGATCTCGGGGTTGTGAGTTCAAGCCCAGTGCTCCATGCTGGGTGTGGGGCCTACTTTAAAAAAAAAAAAAAAGGAACTCAGGTGATCCGACTGCTTGTCCAGTAATGTGAGTTTCTTCCTTGCAGTTAGCACTGGGCTCCCACCCCACCATGCCTTGCCTCTTCTCCCCGCCCTGCCTCCCCACTGCCCAGCTGGAGCACCTCCATGGTAGTAATGGTGGAGGGCCATCGGCTTGTGCATGTGCATCATGATGAGAGACACCAGCTCTAAAAGGGTTTCAAATTTGATCATTCTTTAACTTCCCAGAGCCATCTTTCTACCCATGTGACTGGTGAGGGAAGGATATGGGGTTGGTTTTATTTTTATTATTTTTTTTTAAAGATTTTATTTATTAATTTGAGACACAGAGATACAGAGAGAGAGAGAGCATGAGCAGGGAGAGAGGGAGAAGCAGGCTCCCCACTGAGCAGGGAGCCCGATGCAGGGCTCGATCCCAGGACTCTGGGATCATGACCTGAGCTGAAGGCAGACGCTTAACCATCTGAGCCACCCAGGCACCCCTGGGGTTGGCTTTATTGTCCCTGGTGGATTAAACGAGGCATGCCACAAAGCCTAAGCCAATCTTATCTTTCCACTTTTTTTAAAGATTTTATTTACTTGAGAGAGCAGGAGAGAGCACAAGCAGGGGGAGCGGCAGGCAGAGGGAGAGGAAGAAGCAGTCTCCCCGCCCAATGTGGGACTCCATCCCAGCACCCTGGGATCATGACCTGAGCCAAAGGCAGATGCTTAACTGAGTGAACCACTCAGGCTGCCCCCTCCCTTTTTTTCAAGATTTATTTATTTGCGGGCACCTGGGTGGCTCAGATGGTTAAGCGTCTGCCTTCGGCTCAGGTCATGATCCCAGACTCCTGGGATCGGGTCCCGCATCGGGCTCCCTGCTCCTTGGGAGCCTGCTTCTCCCTCTGCCTCTCTCTCTCTGTCTCTGTCTCTCATGAATAAATAAATTTTAAAAAAAAAAGATTTATTTATTTGCGAGAGAGAGCACAACCAGAGGGAAGAGGGAGAGGGAGAAGCAGATTCCCTGCTGAGCAGGGAGCCCGACTCGGGACTCAATTCCAGGACCCTGAGATCATGACCTGAGCCGAAGGCAGACAGTTAACCAACTTGAGCCACCCAGGCGTCCCTTACCTTTCCACTTCTACACACGAGCCTGTATTGTATCTAAGTTCTTTTTGAACCTGTTTGGGGTTTTTTGTTTTTGTGTTTTTTGTTGTTGTTTTTTAAGATTTTATTTATTTATTTGACAGAGCGCACAGGGAGGGGGAGCGGCAGAGGGAAAGGGAGAAGCAGGCTCCTCGCTGAATAGGGAGCCTGATGTGGGGCTTGATCCCAGAACCCTGGGATCATGACCCGAGCCGAAGGCAGTCACTTAACTAACTGAGCCACCCAGGCACCCTTTGTTTTTGTTTTTAATCAAGGGAATATAAGGACATTATTGGATATTTGGGAAAATAACAGGAAAAGAAATTACCCATAATCCTCCCACACTGATCACCCGTTACTGGCATTTTGTCATATTTCCTTCTGATTTTTTCTCTGCATACTTATATAATGAAAATCATAGTGTTTATATTTTACATCTTTTTAATATTATGTCTTAAGGATTTTACATGGTTTTCATAACCTTTACGCTTAATGGCTGCATCATTTTACATCAAGTGGACATAATGATGGAGACATTTTCCTTTTATTGGACATTTCAGGCGTTTCTCCTCATTGTTGCAAGCAGTGCTATAGTGAATGTCAGTGTGATCTGGATTGTTCTTTAGAATCTAAGGTTAGATTTCTAGAAGTAGAATTCCTTGATCAGTGTGTGAGCTAATACACTTTCCTAGTTTCTTTCCCCCAAAGCGAGTACCAAATTACATTCTATTCTGACAATCCTACTCTAGCCTTGTCACCTTACCTCATCTTAATTTTCTTTCCTTAAATGTTCAAAAACCAAAACTAAATTATTTGCCTTCCAGAGCTCACTTCCTTGATCCTGGATGTGATGGAACAGTAGTGCACGTCTTCTCCTTGGACCCTCCCTGAAACCAGCAGGAGGGACGGTGGGAGGGCTGGGCTGGGTGCCTTCAGGCTTTGGGGTGTAGACGGCCCTCTCACTAACCCCACCAGAGAGTGAGGGACCAGACGGTCGTGAGGCATCTGAGGTTAAGGGACGTGGGGCAGGGCCATCTTCTAGGCACACACAGTGGGGTGGGCCAGGCTGAGCAGGTGAGCCCATTTCCCATTGTGCTAACCTGGCAGGATTCTGAACAGTCTTTGGCAACCATTGGTGCCCCAGCAGGTGTCACAATGGACTGTGGGATCTTATGACACAACATGGCTTGGGAGCCTCCGTGGCCACTCATCGTGGATGCCCACATATCCACATTGCCACTTCAAGTGGTTCGCCTAGAACGTCTGTTATCTTCAGAATCCACCCTGATTATTCTGGTGGGCAGAGGGCTTATCATAATTGGGCTCCCCACTTTGATGATTATTTTTAATTGTCCAAGGCCCACTTGTCAGACTGTATGGCTTAGTTTAGCTATTGGCCACAGCCCAAGAATAGCCTTTAGGACATGCCTCCAGTTCTCCTATAGCTGAGTAACAGCCTGTAACAGACTCCCCAGACCAGATCGCTGATTTCCAAATCAGTTCTCATCCATGCAATGGAGAGCTGCCATCAGGAAACCAAGGTGGCATTTTTTAAATGTATGTATTTCTTTTTCAAGATTTTAAGTAATCTCTATACCCAACATGGGGCTCAGACTTGCACCTCTAAGATCAAGAGTCACATGCTCCACCGATTGAGCCCGTCAGGCTTATTTATTTATTTACTTACTTACTTACTGCTTTATTAGGGAGCTTTATGGCTTCCACTTAGCAGTGGAGGGAAGCACTTTTCAGAGGTCCCCATCTCCCTAGGTTGTCTTAAGTGGGACTTAACTCTCATTGGCTTATTTTCCCCTCAGTCAGAAGTCAACTTTGTTTAGGTTCTTCTAGCCAATTCATGCTGACCAGTACAAAATTACTGCCCTTTGAACCCAATATACAGTCTATTACTATTTTCCTCCTGCAAGGCTCAAGATTCCTTAATTTTCTGAGGTGCCACTTCTTTTTTCTCAATAGATCTTTATTTTTATAGGTTGGGTGAGAAGTCATGGAATTGGTAGGAGCAAGAAAATAAAACCAAGAAGAAACTAGAGGGGATTTATAGGAGAGCATCCAAATAGCAGTTTATATTGCAGAACTAGGATGATGCTTAGGAATGGGTTTCTTGTATTGGTGAGCTGTAGGGAAGAGTCATATGGTCAGTTCAACCTATGTAACCTAAGGCTCCTTGAGGACTACAGTCGACACTTTCTGAGCACAAGCAACTCACTTGTGGGGAGAAGAAGTGTTGAAACACTGGCAGGGGAGTATAGAAGAGACAGAGCAGGGAAGGCTGCTAATAAAGCAGCTGCCAAGGTGAGTGAATGTGTAATCCCATGGCAAAACCGAAAACAAGGGTAAAACACATGCTTCAGAGATATTCCACCCAAGGGGAGAGGATCCTCTTTGTGAAATTCCCATCAAGCATTAGTTGAGGCCTGCTCCCACGATGTAGTTACCCTACAGAGCAGTGGCCTTTTGTGGTTTTAGAAAAAGCCTGCAGGCCGAGACACATGGTGCAAGTCAGATGAAGCCCAACAGAGTGCACAGGACAGGCAGGCCAACAGCATCTGCTAACAGTTGACTTAGAACTCCGAGTAGAAATCTAGTAGCATGCTAATTTTAGTTTCTGGGTACATTTTAGTAATTTTTTTAAAGCAGGCTCCACACCCAAAGCGGGGCTTGAACTCACGATGCCTCAGCCAGGCGCCCAAATTTTAGTAATTCTTAATATCTCACCAGTTACTTGAGAGTAGCCCTTATTTTACTTTTAAAAAGTCAATGTAGTATCAGGTAATTTTTCTACATAAAACCAAGAAAAGTATCTTTTTACATCTTTCTTTGCCTTAAAAACATTTTTCCTCCAGTTGTACAGGAAATAAGAAAAGTATTCCTACATCGTTCATAATCCATCAAATGGTCTCCAGCCTAGGGAACCACAAAGTTTTTATGCCTCCCTTCCGCCTGGACTTGGGACAATGAAGGTATGAGGAGCTCAAGGGAGACTGAACATGACAGCCTATTACATGTTCTATTAATTTTTTTTTTTTTAAAGATTTTATTTGACAGAGAGAAAGATAGCCAGAGAGTGCACACAAGCAGGGGGAGCAGGAGAGGGAGAAGCAGGCTTCCCACGGAGCAGGGAGCCCGACGCGGGGCTCGATCCCAGGACCCTGGGATCATGACCTGAGCCGAAGGCAGATGCTTAATGACTGAGCCACCCAGGTGCCCCACATGTTCTATTAATTCTTGACTCCAGCAAGAAGGCTTAGCCACAAAAAGAGGGTCCCCACAGCAAAACCACTTCAATTCCTGTTTATTAATTTTCATAAAACAATGAAGTTACACATAATTACAAGAGTGGTAAGTTCTCATCTTTAAATGGTCTTTTTCCAGTTAGTATCACATTGATATCCGTTCTCTGTGAGTACCCTGATGCTTAATAAAGCTTGTGCGCCAGATGAAAGATTTGCCACATTTGTCACATCTGTAGGGTCTCTCTCCAGTATGAATGACCTCATGGCGATGAAGATTTGCCTTAAAACTAAAAGTTTTTCCACATTCTCTACATTCAAAAAATTCTTCCTTGGTATGGGTTCTTTGATGCTGAATGAGATCCACATTCCGGCTAAAGGACTCTCCACATTCGCTGCATTTGTGAGTGTTTTTAGTATGAATCTGTTGATGGCTCAGAAGGGTCGAATGCCGACCAAAGGCCTTTCCACATTCGAGACATTTATGGGGTTTTTCTCCACTGTGGGTTAACTGATGTCGAATAAGGGTTGAATTCTGACTAAACGTTCTTTCGCACTCACTACATTTATAGGGTTTTTCTTTGGTATGGATCCTCTTATGTTCAATAAGATATGCCATCTGACGGAAAAATTTTCCACAGTCATGACACTTATATGGCTTTTTTTGAGGGTGACACTGTTTATGGACAAGAAGAGTAGATTTATGTTTGAAGGCTTGCCCGCATATGTCGCATTCAAAGGGATCCTCTGATGTGTGAATTCTTTGATGTCGAATGAAATTTGCCTGACGCCTGAAGACTCTTCCACATTCACCGCATTCATAAGATTTTGCGTTTGTAAGAGTTTGCTTATGCCGCAAAAGCAACGATCTCTGACTAAAAGGTTTTCCATACTCCTCACATTTGCCCTGCTTCTTCCTTATTTGAGCACTCTGATCTTGAGTAAGTTGGAGGTTTTGAAGGAAGTCCTTGTGGCATTCATCACCAAGAGTGGGGAATCCAAGTCTGTAAATGTCCACCAATTCATTACATTTATGTAACTCTTCTGCAGATCTGTTGGCCGTTGTCTGCTTCACCACTGACGACTCTAAATCTTCAGAAATTTTCTGCTTTGGAGTTGGCTTTTTCATCTTGCATCTGGCTTCAGAACCTAACCCAATAAAAAAAAAACACAGAAATGACCTGTGCACTGCAGAAGGAAAAAAAAAGAGAGAAGCCAACTGTGTGTGCTATCAGACACCCAAATGAAGCTACGAAGTGCCTGCTTAGTTACATCATCCAGCTAAAGAGGCCAAAACTCTGATTTTCACAGGGCTCCCAGCTTCAATAGCAGAAAAAGTTCTGGACATCAACTAGCCGACAGAAAAATGCACGAGTGTGTGCCCGAGAAGTGAGAATCGAACAAACCCATCACGACTACCGGAAAAATAACTTACTCTGGGTACTCAGTAGTGTGATGTAATGTAGGAGAGGGAGCATCTTACACTTTCTCGATAAGCAGGTTTTCAATAGTTCTGGGAGAAACAACTCCTTAAAATGGGGAGTATAAGACAGAATAGGAAAGGAACCAGATGGAAGTGGGCACAAAAGCCAAGGGAATACAGCAGTGGTTCTCAACCAGGGGTGATTCTGCCTCCTGGGGGACAGCTGGCAATGTCTGGAGTTATCTTTGGTGGTCACAACTGGGGTGGTGCTACTCAAATCTAGTGGGTAGAGCTAAACATCCTACAATACACAGGACAGCTCCCCACAATGAAGAATTATCCAGCCCAGCACGTCAATAGAGCAGAGGTTGATAAACTCTGGAGCAGAGGATATGGAAGAAGGTAGAAGCAGCAATCAGGACATAGTAAGTAGGAAAAAGCAGGTACATCAAGAAACACGGTGGGACTATGAAAAACAAAATGAAAGCAAAGGAACAAGAGAAAACAGAGAGGAAGGATAAGTAACGAGGGTAGAATAGAGAATATCTAGTTTGGCATAAGAACTGTCAGACCGGCTGCTTCAGAGAAGCATTCTACTGCAATGGAATGAGGCTGAGCTTTGCAGACTTGAAATCGAATCCCAACTATTAATCTACTGTGCGACAGATACCTGAATCTTTTCAAAGTTTACTTATTCATTTTTATTTCTTTTTTTTTCTTTTTTTTTTTTTTTAAGATTTTATTTATTTATTTGAGAGAGAGAGAGAATGAGAGATAGAGAGCACGAGAGGGAAGAGGGTCAGAGGGAGAAGCAGACTCCCCGCTGAGCAGGGAGCCCGATGTGGGACTCGATCCCGGGACTCCAGGATCATGACCCAAGCCGAAGGCAGTCGCTTAACCAACTGAGCCACCCGGGCACCCTACTTATTCATTTTTAAGTAATCTACACCCAACGTGGGGCTCAAACTCATGACCCCAAGATCAAGATTCGCACGCTCCACCCGACTAAGCCAGCCAGGAGCCCCTGAATCTTTTAGTTTCTTCATCTGGAAAATGGGGCTAATGGTCACATGTACTACCTTTAGAGGGCAGCAGGGATGAAAAGGTGGGAGGAGATACACCAAACCCCTGGCTCAGTCTCTGGGGCAACACAAGGGGCTTCATTAATGTGGCTTTCCTGCCTCCTCAGGATTTCCACTCGACTGGGCCTTCTCCTCACCCACCTGGGCAAGCACTACTGGAAGCCTTCCTAGTCCCAGCTCTTGGTAGATCCAGGATCCATGGTTCTTCCCACTGCTCCAGCAGGCAGATCACCTCAGGTTTGGGAAACTGAAATCCTACTCATGGAGAAGTAAATGGGATGTGGTTAGTGAGTTACAGAGAGATGACCTAGACCTCAGCTTAACCCCCTTGGGTCTACAGTGGCAAACAGATAAGGACAATAATCAAAAGGGCTGGTGGGAATAGAATTTGGCACAATCTGACAACCTTTATGGAAAGCCTCAACAATCATCACAGCCTTAGATGTGGTCATTTCACTGTTAGAGTCTATGGAACAATTGGGACCAAGATGAATGGACCAGAGCTGTTCAGCAGAGTTGTACCAGTGCACAGCCGGAAATAAAGTAAACATCAACAGGGCAATGTCTACAGCGTAGCATGTGAATGCAGTGAAGGCAAAAGTATTAGGCAGATACTAAAAATCCATGTGTTCAAGAATATTGAAATGGGAAAATGTTCCCTATGTGTTATAAAGCCGAATGCAAAACTCATGTGAAGTACGATCCAAATTTTGTTCTTAAAAACTATGCATGTGTGTGTATATGTACATAAGTATACATATATATGAAAAGACGAGGAAAAAGTCCAACCAAAATGTTAACGGGGATCATTTCTGGGCAGTGGGCCTGCAGAGGATTTTTATTTCCTACTCTGTTATTGAAAAGTCATTGGGTAATACAAAGAGACTTGAAAGTACCCATACCGTTTAACACCAAAATTCTGTATCTTGGGGAATAGTCACAAATTTATATAAGGATTTATGGTCAGAAACATCCATTAGAACATTAGAATATAAAAAATGATTAATTCATAAGCAAGCCAACAACAACAAAAAAAGCCAAACTAAATATCCCCAAATGGGAAAATGATTAAATATTATAGATCATACAATAGAATTACATTATGGTCATTTACTATATTTATGGGGGCTTTTAATCACACAGGGAAAATGCTGATATTGTAATGTTAAGATTTAAAGGAATTACAGAATTATATGAAGAATATGTTCAGCCACATTTTTTAAGGGGGAGAAAAACTAGAAGGAACTATTCCAAAATATGAACAGTGTTATCCTTGAATGTTCTCCCCTCCCCGTCATAATTTCCTGTACCTTCTATGTATTCAAGTCTGCTCTTGTAATGCTTTTATAAGGAAAACAGACATCAAAAACTCCAGCGGTGGGTGGACAATCCCACAAGAGGTGGTCAAGACTGTGGCAAGAGTGTCAGTGTGGGGGTCAAAGCTGTGGCCCCAGAAAGAAAGCTATTTGTGGAGGAAACGCCCACAGGAGACTCTGCACTGGAATAAGACAAAGGCAGGCTCCCCAAGGAGAGAAGCAGTGAAGGTTCAGAAATGAAGTCAGTTAAGAGTCGTTTCCTGGATACTTGGTGATGCTGCCAACAAGGAAGGAACCCATTTCCAGAGAGAAGACAGAGAAAAAGAAGCTAACCTTTGGAATCCAAATCAGCCATAATCTTTTCAGCTCATACAGGCCCTACAGATGTGGAGGATGTGGATCGGGGTGGGGAGTGGATTAAGTGTCTCTGACCTCTAAAACAAAAGGAAACTATTCTTTGTGTACGATCCCTTATTTGAAAACCTTGAGGCCAGACGTGTTTCAGGATTCAGATTTTTCTCCAGATTTTAGAAAGGCAACTTGGTGTGTATATTTTCTAACACACTGATATTTCTGATGCTAAATAGATAGATACAAAGACCAAGTGGGAAAAACAAAAACAAAGACCAAGTGGGAAAAATAAGGATGCGACATAGCTTCCTGTAGGAAGAGGTCAGGTTTTACCACCTGAGGACTTCACAGGTTGGGTCTTGCCGCCAAATGAATTATGAAAAAACAACTAGTTTTCAGAGTTTCTCTGATTTTGGAATTGCACGTAAGGGACTGAGGACTTGTGTAGACACCCAGAGCCAAATCTTCAAGCCACGTCATTACCCAACAAGATCATGTTTCTGTAATTCTCCAGCATCACATCTCTGTAGAGGTCCTTCTGAGCCCACTCAAGTTTGTTCCACTCTTCTCTGGTGAAGTACATAGCCACATCCTCAAAGGACAGCAACTCCTGAAAACAGAGACTGATTATAGGCTCAATTCTTACAATAACTTTGTGAGCTATCACTATTATTCTACAGGTGAGGTTTGAGGTGGTCAAGTGACTCGGCCAAGTTCATTCATTCTTCTCTACTACAGAGTAGACACTCTTTTTCTGTAAAGGGCCAGATGGTAAATTTTTCAGGCTTCCCAGGCGATTTGGTCTCTGCTATGGTTATTCTGCACAAAAGCAGCCAGGAACAACGGGTAAGTGAATGGGCACGGCTGTGTTCCAGTAAAACTTGACTACCAGCTACAGGTCAGTTTGCTGACCCTGCTCTTATACAATACTACCTTTAACACGGAATATGTTTCTGCCCCGGGTCCCCTAGGAAAGAGATGGCGCATTCAAGGAGGTCACTGAAGATAAGTTAGCACGCAGGCTATTCACAAAGGAAGGTGCTTCATGGAAACCAACAAGGCTGGCTCTCATGGGGAACAATCACCCACCATGTCTGAAGGGGGGAAGAAGGTAGGGGAGGGGTTACTGGAATCCAGAAAGTTGTTGGAGAGGAAGCAAGACTGGGGCCATGTGGTCACTGTCATCCCACAGCCCAGCAGGCAGGGAGCCATGGGAATAAAACCCAATACCGCTTTCCTCCAGGTTTCTGGTCCCCTGACCCTCTCCACCCCATTGCCAAAAGCCGACTGGAAGCCAGAAGGCAAGAGAACCCATTGATGGTGTATAAAGGTCAGCCTCCGAGGGCACAGACCAAAGTGGGGGAGGGTGAAGCATACATCAAAGGTGGGCAAACAGAGACTGTTTAGTACAATCTATACGGCAGAGGTTTCCATTTGCAATTGTGTTCAACTCAAGAGGGCGGAGAACAGAAGGTGCCTCACAGTACTGCAGCCCTTGGAGCAGAGGCCCAGTGTCTGCCCACCCCACTCCCGTCCCTTAGGAGAAACTGTGTAGCCTGAGGGGCTATCGGAGCAGGGAAAGGGCGATCAGTAATAGGAAATGCCACCACCACCCCTCAGGAAACAGATACCAGAATTCCCAAATTACAGGGCCCTTCTTTCCTCCCTACCGAGCCCGACTTCCAGAGTTACCATGTCGAACTCCCTCCTACCACCATCCCAAACGTCCTCCTTTTACCACAGCTGTCCTGTGGGTCTCCTCAGCTGACATTCTCTGATGCTACGTGAGCGTAAGCGTGAGCGTGAGCAAGCGCTGGGGAATAAAATGGCTCAATCCCCCACAGAGTAATCTCTATACATTCAAGCATATGGCCTTTAATGTTGCCCCAAACTCCCACCCTCCTATTACTCCCCAGGGTCTTCTGTACCTTTACCACCCTCATTCTTTCAAGAAACACCGGGCACCAAGAAGTTGCTAGCTTTCAAGCCATAGGCCAGCAGTAAAGGGTCCAGTCCTGCTGAAGCCACAGGATACAACTGTTCAGGCTGTGCACAGCTCAGACCTACAGGACACCATTTACATCACAGCTGTGTGAATGGGGTCCCCTGGAGTTGCTACCTGCACAATCTGTATGATTCTATAGCAGCCCTGGTCCCGCTTAGGGAACGGACCATCCAGGGGGAAAGCTGGAGTCAACACGGGAACGATCCAGTGGGAGGTACCCAGAGGAGCCTAGGAGGGCATGCGGTTCACCTCACGACTCCCTTCCAGAAGTCACTGCCGGTTATGTCCCAGGAAAGAGCCCCCAGAGCACATGCTCCCTGATTCCTCTCCCTTCCCCACCATCCCCTCCAGGCATTACCTATGTTCTCACTCATCCCTTTCTCTGTTCCCTCAGGGAAAGCAGCTGTTCTAGCCATCCCTCCGCTCTGCCTCTGCTTCCATTCCCTTGTGTCTCCCCCAGGGTCTTTTTTTTTTTTTTTAAAGATTTATTTATTTATCTTGAGAGAGTGAGAATGAGAGAGAGAGAGAGTACATGAGAGCGGGGAGGGTCAGAGGGAGAAGCAGACTCCCCGCCGAGCAGGGAGCCCGACGCGGGACTCGATCCCGAGACTCCAGGATCATGACCTGAGCCGAAGGCAGTCGCTCAACCAACTGAGCCACCCAGGCGCCCCTCTCCCAGGGTCTTAATCCAATGACGAGGACTCCTCCATATCTTTACTCTCTTTCCCCTGTGATACTGTGATTTTTAACAAGAAATATATATTTAGAGGCACCTGGGTGGCTCAGTCGGTTAACCGGTTAACTGACTGCCTTCGGCTCAGGTCATGACCTCGGGATCCTGGGATAGAGCCAGGCTCCCTGCTGAGCGGGGAGTATGCTTCTCACCCTCTTCCCTCTCCCCCTGCCTCTCCTCTCCCCCCCCGTGCACATGCTCTAATAAATAAAATCTTTAAAATATATATATATATATAATCTTCATCCTCATTTCTGGCACAGAGCTCCTAAAACTCTTGGAATTCCTAAGGGATAAGAGCAGGAGCATCTCTTCATATTTGGCCTTCTGTCCTTGGTTTCTGAAATAGCTCCAGAGTCATGAAAGAGAAAGGAGTGTCTCCTTAGTCATCACAAATTCCTTTCACCACACCTGAGTTTACGTTAATGAGGTGATCTTTGGAAAGGCCCCAAGGATAGCAGGCTGGTTGCCAAGGGAACCAACCATGTGGTTAGAGGGTTTGAACCCCCCAATTCAGAGGAGGGAGAGGGGCGGGAGGTCGAATCAGTCACGAAAGGGCAATGATTTATTCAATCAAGCCCATGTAATGAGCCTCTATAAAAACCCAAAAGGATAGGGTTCGGACAGCTTCAGGGCTAACGAGTGCGTGGAGTGCTGGGAGCATGGCACACTCGGAACACGGAAGCTCTGAGCCCCTCTTCTGTCTGGCTGTTCCTGAGTTACAGCCTTTTATAATAAACCTAGTAAAATCTAGTAAAAGTAAACTGTGTTCTTGAGTGGTTCTTTGAGTCACTCTAAGCAAATTAATCGAACCCACGGAGGGGGTCATGGGAACCTCCAAATACATAGCCAGTCAAGGTACAGGTGACAACCTGGACTCGCAATTGGCTGGTGGCAGAAGTGGGGGAGGGGCAGTCTCAGGGGACTGAGCCCTTACCCTGTGGGGTCTGATGTTAACTCCAGGAAGAAAGTGTCAAACTGAGTTAAATTGCAGCCCCCACCCCCAACCCCACCGGTGTCACATAATTGCCTGATGTGTGGGACAAACCCCAACATGTGTGGTGTCCGAAGTGAAGTGTGGCTTGAAAGTAGAAAGCAGAGAAACACGGGAGTGTTTTTCCTAAACACTCACTTCTCCCCTCCCTCCTTCCCCTTCATCAGCAAAAATGCCAAAACCTCTCCTTTTTTTTTTTTTTAAGAGTTTTTTTTTATTTATTTGAGATAGAGCACGAGCCAGGGGAAGTGGCAGAGGCAGAGGGAGAAGCAGTCTCTCCACTGCACAGGGAGCCCAATGCAGGGCTCGATCTCAGAACTCGATCCCAGGACCCTGGGATCATGACGTGAGCTGAAGGCAGAAGCTCAACCAACTGAGCCACCCAGATGCCCCAAAACCTCTCCTATCTTTAAAAAGACATTCCTGTGCCTGCCTTCCCCTCTGGTTTCTGTTTTCTATCCTTCCCTTATGGGACAAGCTCCCAGGAGAAAACTACACACACTTCCAGTCGCTGCGTAAGCCACTGTCTGGTTTAAGCCTCATCACACCTCTGCAACTGCTCTAAGGCACATCCCTGCCCCCACCTACTTGGCAGAGCTTTGGGACTCCTCAGAAAGTGCGGACATGCTGGAGCAAGGCAGTCAAACTGCAATAACTCAACTTCCCTCCCTCCTGTCCAACCTTTCTTTCAAAATTGTTAGGATGGCTTCCTAACTTGTCTCCTTACTTTCAAATGCAACTTTTTAGAATCAACCTCCATAATGTTGCAAATTCAATAACTAAGCTTCCCTTATGCCCTTTAGTACTCCCAGATCAGAATTTATCTCTGTAATGCAAGAGTCTGTTTACTTATCCAAAAAAAACCCTGTAAACTCCTTTAGGGAGAGTTTATCTCCCCACACAAAGGATAGTATCTGGTACATAGTAACACTCACTGACAGAAACAATGAGCAACTATAGTAACAGTATCTAAAATTGGAGAGTGCTTAAAATAGAACTAGATACTATGTAAAGTATTATTTACCTATTTCACCAAGTGCCTCACTTAATTCTCACAACTCTTTGGGATAAGTGGTATCATCCCCTTTACAGATAAGTAAACTGAGGCCCAGGGAGCTTATGTAACTCGCTGAAGGTAAAACATCTACAACAAAGCCTGGATTTGAACCTGTCTGACCCCAGAGTTCAAGCTCTTTAACAGCACACTTTCCAAGAAGGAAAAAAATCCCCAAATTAATAAAGATGGCTCAACCTGAACAAAGGAGTCAAAGCCATTGCCTGGCTGCAGGACTACCCTGAGGAAGGGGAGGAAGAGCCCAGCTCACCTTCCACCCAGCTGTCAGGAATACAGCTTCCAAGTCCTGGTCTCCGAGATGGGGCAGGATTGCCGCCATCAGGCTGGACTGAAGGAGGAAAAAAGATAATGAGTAAAGGCCAGTCCCAATTTAAGGCTCTCTCACCAGGCAGCCCTGGGACAGGGAATTCCAACAGGGCCAACACACCTGAGCTAGTATACAGTCACAGTGTTTGGTGCTGAAATAGGGGATAAAATGAAAGAAGCTCCTAGAATAGTCTTTTTTAGGAACTTCTGAAGTTGATTCAATTTCCAAAGCTTTATCCCAGGGCCCTGCCCTCCCCTTCTCCCTAGGATATGTTCTGTAGCACCTCATTGAAAGACTGCATACACAAAGGGACAAGACCATAGATAAGAACAGAACTCTGGCCCACAACCTGCCGCCACCAGCCCAGAATCCGAATCACACCCCATTTGGCAATCAGCCCCAAACCAACATCGGGTCAATAACGGCCAACTTATACTTAATTCTGACTTCCTTCCTACAATTTAGGACCAGCAGAGAAAGCCAAATACACTCCCCTACCCAACCACATAGGATGTTCTGCTTCTATTCATTAACCTCCAGCTTTCCCAAGCCAACAACCTCCAAACTGGGCACATCTGAGCTTTCCTTTTTTTCCCCACCATAAAGCTTACCCCTGCGTGCCTTTGAGTCTCTGCCAAACAAGCAATGGTGGCTCACACCTTTGCTATATAGCAGGATCTGAATGAAGAGCCTTTGTTTGTTCTCGTTGCAGGGGTCGGGGGGTGTTCATGTATTTCTACATCCTACAGGATCAGCTCAGAGAGTATAAAAATGACTTTAGGGCAGTTAAAGATTTCAGTCTACCTATTATAGACACAGAAGCAATCATTGTCAAAAGAATATTCAGAGAGCTTTACTTGATATGAATATTTATTGAGAAACACACAGCAAACAAGACTTCAAAACCAAAAGCATGAAGACACTGAGCTCTCAGCAGCCACCACTTAGTTCATAAGGCATGAGGGGTAGCAGAATATGCCACCCCAAGATTATTTTGAGCTGTGGGCACTTGAAAAGCGGCAAACACAGAGAAAGGCTTTCTCTGAGCTCCCCTTATCTGCCTAAAGACCGATCCTCGAAAAGGAACTCAATTGTCATAAATTCCCCTCCCAGGAGATGAGACTAGATGTTGACACCACACCCAAACTATCCTAAACCATTGGACCTCCTGTCTCCTCTTCTAAGGACCCATTCATCTTTCCTAAAATTCATTTACTCTCCTCTAAGAGGCCTACATCCTCTCTCCCCTTTCCCTATTAAGAGGGTATTTAAGCCTGAATTCTAAGCCACTCCAGGAGTTACTCATTTTTCCGTGGTTCTTTCCCACCTATACATGTTAATAAACTCGTTTTTCTCTTAATCTTTTATTGCCGGGATCTCAGCTGAGAATGGAGAAAGAAGGTTATTTCTCCACCCCTACACACGAAATGAGGAAGTACCTTGTTTTCTACTGTGACTGTTTACTAGAAACTTACAACCCTTTTAGAATAGAAGCACTGTACAAGTTTACTTGTTTTTAGCTGACTGGCCAGGAAGCTACAAGGTCACCATGACATGAAGACAGCTTAAGTTTCCTAGAAGAGTCAGCATTTTGGGAAATTAGGACAGTTCAAGTTTTGATTCCACAGCTAAGGATGGTTGGCTAAGGGTATACCCAAACTGTGGTCTCCACTTTGGTTTTTCTGGATCATTATAAACTCAACATCGTTACTCTCGGGAAGTACACAAGTGATGGGATACAGGTGATTTTCATTTTTTTCTTGTGCTTTTTCTGGCCACGGGTGAACCTTGCTTTCTGTGAGTGCATTTGTAAGAAAGTCTCTCGAACCATTCACGTTCCTTAAAAACATTATTTGGAAGATGCTCTGTCTTTTAAGCAAGGAGGCACTCCAAAAAATGTCCTGACCAAGGGCTTCAAGATTGGGGAAGGGACCTCAACCCTTTCATTATCTAAATGATACTGTCTACCGTGAGCATTGGTGCAATCGGAAGTGAGAATCTAAAACGCCACTTCACAATAACCTGAACTCCTGAAACGTTAAATCACATCTCCTTTTCCCCTATAACCAAACCAAACCACAGTATTCACCAACCATTCATTCATCGGACTTGTTCTTCCCTACTGCTGAAGACCTGACACCACGGAAAATATTCACAAGTTGGTATCTTCAGGAAGACGCTCAGTAAATGCCCTGCGACCTCCCCTGAGGGTCTCTCGAACCCGGACCCTGCCGTGGCAGGGCCGCCGGGGTTTCTCCCGCGCCACCCACCCCTCGCATCACACTAGCTCCTCTCTCCCCACACCTGCTCCGCACCTCTGACCCTCCGCCGCGCCACCTCCTCCAGGAAGTCCTCAGTGTCCACCTGCTGCGGCCCTAGGGGCCGGGCTCCCCTCTCGAGGTTCCCGGCCGGACCCGCGCTGCGGTCCGCGCCCCTCCGATGACCACCCCCTACCCGAAGGCGCGAATGCGGAAGAAATCCCCGCCACTCGCCCGCCCTCACCCGCCCTCACCCGCGCGCGTGGAGCCCAGCGTCTCCGCTCGTGTACCTTCTAGGAAGAGCGGAGGCTTCGGAACTCTTTGGTTGGCTTAGGAGAGCGGCAGCCTCCCGTCTCACGCACCCGCCGCTCAGGTCGGGGCCAATCAACGGCCGCCCAGCGCGCCGGCTGGGCCACGTGACTTCAAGGCCCCGCCCCGGCCGGTTCCCGCCCAGCCGAGCAGTGCGCAATCTCCAGTAAAAAAAATCACCTGAAGGCTTTAAAACTCTGCCACCGAGACGCTGGTTTTCCACACCAATTGGATCAGAATTTCTAAGAGTGGGCCCTCGTGCAACTGGGTATTTTTAAAAAAGCTCCTCTTTTGAGTGTAGAGTGACCAACTTTTTGGAGAGCTAACCCTGGACACAGTCCTACCAGACGAATAACATAGTACGTTGAATATAATGAATGATTACACATATCTGTGTTACTTAACATAAAAATATGAAAAATAGCTATTTATCTGAAATTATGTTATTCAGAAATTACATGAATGCTATTTAAACAAAGCAACATAGGACTAGTTATCAGTGGCAATTAGTTGTAATTGATAGGAGGATTTGTTTGTTTTAAGATTTTATTTATTTGACAGAGAGAGACAGTGAGAGAGGGAACACAAGCAGGGGGAGTGGGAGAGGGAGAAGCAGGTTCCCCGTAGAGCAGGGAGCCGGATGCGGGCTCGATCCGAGGACCCTGTAATCATGACTTGAGCCAAAGGCAGACGCTTAACGCCTGGGCCACCCAGGCCCCCGTGATAGGAGGATTTGATAGGATTCCCTGTTTAGCAAAGAAAAAAAAAGTAACAGATTAAGAAAAACACTTGTGTGAAATCTCCCTTTAAGTCTTGATTTCCATGGGCCAAAATACTAGAAACAGAGAAAGAAGGAGAGGGAGAGAGAGGGATAGGGTGTTTGTTTTGCCAGTATCATACTAGTTGTTTGACCTGGGACAAACTAGTTCACTCTTCTGTATGTTAGTTTCCGTACATGTAAAATGAGGAGACTAGGACTATGAATTTTATAGGGTTGTTCTGAGGCGTAGCACCCCCTTATCCTCTGTTTTGCTTTCCACAGTTTCAGTTACCCGAGGTCAATCATGGTCCAGAAGCAGATGATCCTCCTTCTGACATATGCTGAGAAGGTCAATAGTAGCCTAACACTACCTCACAATGCCTCCATTATTCACCTCACTTCATCTCATCGCATAGGCATTTTATCATCTCATATCATCACAAGAAGAAGGGTGAGTACAGTACAATAAGCTATTTTGAAAGAGAGACCACATTCACATAACTTTTATTACAGTATGTTGTTATAATTGTTCTATTTTATTGTTGTTGTTAATCTCTTACCATACCTAATGTATAAGTGAAACTCTATCATAAACGTGTAAGTATATGAAAAAGCATAGTATATGTAAGGTTTGGTACTATCCACAGTTTCAGGCATCAACTGAGGGTCTTGGAATGTATCCCTCCATAGGTAAGGGGGAAATACAGAGAAGAGTGGCCACTTTCTGCTCATGTTCTACTGTATTAAATGAGTTAATATATGTAAAATGCTTAGAATGCCAGGCCACATTAAACGTTCCTAAAGCATTAGGGAGAAAACCTTCAGTTTTCTAAACGTCAGATGAACTCAGATATTCATTGACTCAGTGTTGCAGCAGTTTGAACTTCCAAAAGACAATTAAGAGAATCAGGAAATAAAATGAAATTCATTCAATTAATACTTATTGAGGGTCGGGGCACCTGGGTGGCTCAGTCGGTTAAGCATCTGCCTTCAGCTCAGGTCATGATCCCAGGGTCCTGGCATCCAGCCCTGCTCAGCAGGGAGTCTGCTTCTCTCTCCCCACTCCTGCTCTCTCTCTCAAATAAATAAATAAAATCTTTTAAAAAAAATTTATTGAGGGCCTACAATGTCCCAGGCACTGTTAAATTTCAAATATTCCACATTTAAATGTTACTCAAAGTGTTTAGGGCTTAGGGGGTGCCTGGGTGGCTTAGTCATTGGGCATCTGCCTTTGGCTCAGGTCATGATCCCAGGGTCCTGGGATGGAACCCCGCATCGGGCTCCCTGCTCTGTGGGAAGCCTGCTTCTCCCTCTCCCACTCCCCCTGCTTGTGTTCCCTCTCTCGCTGTGTCTCTCTCTGTCAAATGAATAAATAAAAATCTTTAAAAAAAAAGTATTTAGGGCTTGAGCTTTTGAAAAATTATGCTGTGCCAGTTGAGCTTTTGAAAAATTATGCTGTGCCATGATAACATTGGAAACTTGGGGGCCTCAAATTCAGAGGTAGTTTCCTTCTCAGGATGTTTACTGGTAGCTGAAGCTACATGGAGCAGGAGGCTAAAGAGCTGTACTAAAACACTGGGAGGGCACCTGGGTGGCTCAGTCAGTTAAGCGGCTGCCTTCGGCTCGGGTCATGATCCTGGAGTCCCGGGATCGAGTCCTGCATCGGGCTCCCTGCTCAGCAGGGAGTCTGCTTCTCCCCCTGAACCTCCCCCCGTCGTGCTATCTCATTCTCTCTCTCAAATAAATAAAAAAATCTTAAAAATAAATAAATAAATAAATAAAACACTGGGAAAGGAAAAGAAGAATCTTCAACCTCCCAGTGTTTGAGATAAGGACCACTACAGGGAGGAGAGATCACTAACCATAAATCTGACAAGCAATAGTTTCCACTGCTACTCTTGAAGCTGACTGATCCTTTCTGATATTTGGTTTGTTTTTGGGGGTGTTTTTTTTTTAGATTTTCTTTAAAGATTTTATTTATTTATTTGACAGAGAGAGATCACAAGTGGGGGGTGGTGGCAGAGGGAGAGGGAGAAGCAGGCTCCTGGCTGAGCAGGGAGCCCAACATGGGGCTGGATCCCAGGACCCTGGGATCATGACCTGAGCTAAAGGCAGTCGCTTAACTGACTGAGCCACCCAGGCGCCCCTGTGTGTGTGTGTGTGTGTTTTATCTCTAGAAGTTCTATTTGGTTTTTGTTTTTTTTTTTTTAAGATTTTATTTATTTGACAGAGAGAGACAGCGAGAGCAGGAACACAAGCAGGGGGAGT